TGAAAGGTGTTGTATCCGGCGATCGTATGTACGTTGAAATCAGAGTTTTCGTAAACGTGCTATGAAGAGAACGGTTGATCAACTTCCAGCGGATCGCCCTTGATGCTGATATTTTTGATTACTCTAAATAATTTAAAAAAATATTTACTAGGTACTAGTTTTTTGATAACTTCTCAAATAACCCCTGTGAACATTCATATGGAAAAACCCGAGGAGAACCCTATACATGGTGGGGCACGAAAAACTTCACACTCAGGTGATTTCCGACTCAGGTGATTGGGCGGTATGATTAAAAAGAGTATTTGCTTTTACTTCTAGTAAATGCTCCATTTTGTAGTTTTTACTTCAAAAAATTACAGTATTTACTCCACATAATTCTTAAAGTAAGTACTACAAGCAATTACGCCATACCTTGCTCTATTTACTTGAATATACAGAAGTTTATACTGCAGATATTACTTATGATTTTCAGTATTCCCTCCATTTGGGAGTATTCGGTGTAGTTTTTGAGAATCTACTCAAGAGTAACTTCAATCTTGAAACTCACTCTGTCCCGTTTTCTCTGTATTTTCCATATAATTTGCACCTCTATCATTATTCCTGTTTCGATATTTATTACCATTATAATTTCCTCTGTAACCAGTTCCTGTATAGCCTGTTCCTCTGTAACCATTTCGATTATAACCATTTCCTCGAAAATTTCCTCTAAAACCTTCAAATCCTCGATTGCAACCTCGAGCTTTGTCAAAACCACCTTGTTCACCATCACGACCCAAAACTTCTGTGTCCTCTGGCTAGATTATATACTGGTCTTTGATTCCTACAATCTTTCTTATAATGGCCCCTTCAGCCACAGGAATAACATACACCTGGTTGTTGGGTTGAAAAGGTTGATGGGGTTACATTATCTCGTCTGTCACTACTACTTGCACTACTAGCTCCGTATATTGCTTTTCTTCTTTCAGCTTTGGCTGTCAACTTAGCTTTGGCTAAACTTATAGTTAAATATTGTGGTAATACATTTTCCAATATAGTTATGACTGTTTCGAACGCTTTGGGCATAGCAAGCAAACATCCTGCTCTTTCAAATCCGCCCCTGTAGCATTTAACTGCCTTATTACTTCATCATATTCAGCCAAAAATTCTTCCAGTTTACTACCGTCCAGAAGCTTCATCGACATTACTTTTTTTTCTAAAAATCAACTGGCCTGGACTGGAATGCCTTTTTTTTCATGTCTTTCTTCCAGACTATTCCACACACTGAAAGCTGTCGCTTTTCCTCTAATTAAGTCGATCTGCGAATCATCTAAGCATTGAACAATTATAGAGTTACATTTGCTTTCTTCCTTCATTGCTTCAGCCAGCAGTTTATCATTATTATAATTGGATTCATTAAATTTAATTTCAATGCACTCTAAAACATCTTTTCCTTCAAACAAAATACTCATACGGAACTTCCATGTGTGATAATTCCTCGCATTTAACAAATAAACATTAAAGTGGTTTTCATTATTGGACATTGTGTTCACCTGTATTTCAGTTTTCTTTGGAATTTCTGCTCATAACTTTTGTTTGAAGTTGGAGACGGCCTGGAACTTGGCTTGGGAGAAATAATCGAGTTTTCTTTGTACAGTTTATTTACAGCTATTTACATTTGACTCAACATCATCAGTTCTTATTAGGAACATCTTTTATAACAATGAATATTGAATAACTGAAATTCTCTTTCTTTTCATGACAATTAGGTATAGGCGTCCCGTAGCAGGTTTGGTTTTTTGTTAAGATCCACATTCTGTAGGTGCGCCAAATATTGCCATTGTTCCTAATATGGTCACCCCTCGTTACTCGGCTAGTATCGATGCTGCATGTAGGTGGCAGCAGTAGCAGGTACTTTGATTTGTCAGCGATTTGTTTTCTATCCGGCGGTTTAGTCTATGCTAAACGTCAGACGTCAGGAGCACGACATTTATTTTTCCTGTCCACGCTATAAGAAAATTGACTTTTTGCCTTGACCCTACGCAATCTTAATTTACATTTACTGGATTTTTGTTAATAAGTACAGGGAAGTACATTCCAGTGGCTCTTGTTTTATTAATTGCATGAATAATTATTTCAAGTGGCTTTCTAGGTTAGAGATTTTTTTTTTTTGGACTTCATTTGTTCCTAATATTGCCATCACTAAATATGCGCTTGTGCCTAGTTTGCTGACGATATGTTCACGAGGCCTAACTAAGGGTGACAAAGAAAACTTTATTTTGTCCTCAATGTTCTTGAGTTTTTTTTTTTTTTTTTGTCGTAGAATTTTATTATTTCTATCTTTTGTTCCATAGTTCCTAATATTGACATAGGGTGGCAACAATAGGGAGAGCTGTGATCCTAATATTGTCATTCTCAATTTCAACTAACACATTCAATATCTTCATTTTTATTAAGATTTTTGAGGTGAATAAAATATATGATTTAAACCTTAGATAAGGGAAAAGAGTGGATGCGTAACAACTCAAGGGCATTTGTTACCACCTGCCACATCGCCGATAATTATCAATTTTCGATTTATTTTTATTTTGAGGTATTAATAATAAGAAGTTTAATTTTACAGAATAATAAAAATACCTTATGAGGTGCTATTTAAATAGTTTTCTGCATTTTTAATTATTTTTCAGGATAATTTGATATTTGAAATAAAACATGACAAGACTTCCTTTTTCTCGCTGCGACTTTTAAATTCATAGGCTGAACTGAACTGAATTCACTATTTTTCAATTCACTGCTGATTTTCACTGGGAAATACACGAAAAATACTAAACACTGCATTCGCTTTATCTGCCACATAAACAATGGCGGCGTGGTAACAGAATCGAATCAGTGCGCCTATAGGATGCGCGGTATCCACTCTCTTCCCTAATCTAAGATTTAAACAATGAATTTCTTCACTCGTATCCTTTGTATTCCTTCATTAATAAAAGTATAGGATGTAATCACTACCAGACGTTAAGGTTGCAATATTTGGCACACTTACCTTACTACAAAAACAGTGACGATAATATCACTCCTACATAACGATACTTATATTGACATAGGCATATTGAAAGTTACGCCATCTCTATAAGAAAAGCATCACCAGTATTCTATACTCGGTGTAGAGATTTAAGATCTATACTCACAACAGGTCTCCATTCTATTAGTCCTAATTTCCCCATTCAAGGTCAGCTTCCCAAGCAGAACTGAATGGAAACAGAGCAGACCGGAGACTAGACATGGTACAAAGATGGGTCGAAGACTGCGGCGGGTACTGGGGCAAGGGTGTATTCCGCCAGCTAAAGCAATCACTATGCACTGGGGCAACATACTTCAGCTTTTCAGGCAGAGGTATATGAGCGGAGAACAACAGGCAAATCCTTTTCAATGTCTGACAGTCAAGCGGCATTGAAAGCCAGATAGTGTTATCAAGACTAATATGGAAAGGCCAGGAAGAACTCAGGTTCCTGGTGTACCAGAATAAGGAAAAACTTACCTGGGGGACAGGACATAAAGGAATCGGATGCAATGAAAAAACTGACGAACTTATAAAAAGAGGATCAGGATAAAACTTATCGGGCGAGAGCAGGCTTTAGGGATAGCAAAAAGTATAACCAAAAGCCATATGATAGAGTGGATTCGTAAGGAACATTGATACTACTGGACAACTGCCAGGCAGAATCATGGTAAGGAACTCATCCACCAACCATGAAGAACTGATACAAATACGTAAGAGCCGACTAAGGACTATAACGCGCCACACACCAGTAAACGACCACCTGAACAGGATGGACCTGTATGACGCAGACCTTAACTGCAGACTGTGCAATAAGGAACCGGAGACAACCAGACATCTTGGTAAACTGTGAGGCACTGGATCGCAGCAGACACAGCATTTTTGGGCAACCAAATGTAGATACGGAGACAATCATGAAACACCACTCAGTAAAAGGACCTGCACAACCTGGTACCAAAATATTAGAGTAGTTGGAATAATAAGTACCATAAGCCTTCTCATCAGGCTTGAGTGCTACATAGGGACATTAAGTTGAGCAGGCCTGAGAGAGGAGTTAAAGGTAGTCTTGATTTCCATCTGGCGTCTCATACTCGAAACAAAGGAGCAGCTCTCTCTTGAGAACAATTTTTCTGTCTATGTCATATGAAATTTGGCATGGAACCGAGAAAGACAGGGCACTTGTTCTCATAGGAACCCTGCTTCTTAGTTTCGAGAATCAGACATCTGTGGTCTCTCTGTCTTGCAAGAAGTCATATGAAACTTTGGAGCTATATCCATCAATGTTGATAGAAAAGCCTCTTTTTTCCATCATTATGTCAGCTATACAGCTTCATCTCCCATGTGATTTGTTGTTTTTCAGATCGTTAATTTCCCTTGTTATCTCCTATTTTTTATTCGAGAAGTCTTGGCTCTCAGCTATGAGAACTGTTTGACCATTGCCTATTCTAATTCAAAGATGTATCAACCTTAGATATCAACTTTCATACGACCTTACGCTGTCTTTATTCTTCAGCAAGACATCTATTAAAACTTTTGAAAACAAACTTAACATAAAACCAGCTGATCACTTAGTAAATCCCATCGATTTACGAAAAAGCCAATTTCCTAATTTTCAAATCCCCTATATGCAAACATTTTGACCATATATCTCGCAGGAAGGAACATTTCAAACACCGGTCCCGCAGGACCTTTGTGTATGGAGAGGTCCTTCTCGGCGTAGAGTCTTGAGCCGCATGCATTATGCAAAACGCTGTTGCCAGCTTGTCATCAATTAATAAAAGCCCGTATCAAGACGTTTGCATAATTCAGTCGGGGAGTTCGCATCGCGACGTCGTTTCCTGCCCCGTGTGCGCCGCGACGCCGTCGTCATCGTCTTACGTTGCGGCAGGAACTAAAGTAACGCTCGGCTAAGCGATTCTGAATTGCTAATTACTTTAATGTTAATTTTTGGTTATTTTTGTTTCAGATTTTTTCTAAAATTCTTCCTCAAGTGCAATCAAAACTGTCTAAAGAATGCCGGGAATCCCAGAGACATGAGACGCTTTCAGGTAAGATACAATTTTAAAAATATCATTTATTATATTACCTTAACGTAAATTACTAACAATTAAAAACAATATTATAGAGCTAATATTCAATACAATTCTAATTATCTACCACTGATGTATCATTTTCTCTACTCTCGATTTCTGTCTTCTCATGAATAACGAACATGGGTTTGACCATTTCTTTATTATCAACTTTACTGAAATATTTCTTGAATACGACTATATCCCCTTGAAGGACTACAGTTTCATTTTTTCTAAGGTTGCAAAGTCCGGGAAAAATTCCATTTCCTAAAAATCCAATTTTCATTTAAAAACAAAAACTGTGTATAAGGGAGTATTTCTTACCTGCTAGAAGTTGAGTTAGTATTGGAGAGCATGGATTTACTGAGGGTAAAACTTGGTTTCTTGTTTGTGAATATTCAGTAATCACAGACTCTTGATGGGACACAATTTCTCCAGAGTTGGTTTGGTTATTGACTTGAGACAAGGCTAGAAAAAAACAACAAAAACTGTTAAGCTTCTGAAATGTTTCATTGGTAACTTTTTCTTACAATCCTCTTCGTTGTTTTTTAAATCTTTACTATCTTTATTTTGTGCTTTTGCTTGTTCTGTAGTTTTATTTGAATTATTTTCGATAGAGTCAAAATCTTCAAAAGTATCATCCATATCCAACTCATCGCTGAAAAAAAATAATCATAAAGCACTATATCTTATGAAAAAAATATCAATAACACACCTTTCTTTTTCACTCAATGCACGAGGACTACCCAAAATGTCTTCCTTTTCTTCATCAACTTTTTTCCTGTTAGCAAAATCATCTCTTTCAAATTTTAATCCAGGATGTTCATCAGCCATTCTTAGAACAATTTTTTTATTACCAGTTTGAGGCCATTCATAATAAGTTTTAGACAAAAATGTTCCAGTTCTGCAAGTTATATTTTCGTTCTTGCTTATGATAAAATTGGAGTTTTTTTTCACAACTTCAAAGACATGTTCAGCTTGATTACCGTCATCCTCTTGGATTATGTATTTTCTGTACTCTTTGGTAGTTTTATCGGTAGACGAATCATCTAAAAGGGTAACATTTTATCATAATATGAGGTTTTATTAGATGAGAACTTACTATTATCGCCAGGGAAATCCAAAGTAACCTGATAGTCGTGCCAGATTTCTGCTATCTCATCATTGCTCTGGTTTACATACAAAATATCGCCCCAACAGATTTTAAGTTTTTCGTTGTAAATCGATTCTTCTATAATTTGTTGTTCATTATTCTTACCAAGTTCTAGAAAAATATCTTTTTCAGTGGTATTTTGTTTTGCTTTGGAAGGTTTATCAATAATTATTGGTTTGGTGGTAGTGGTCATTGAAACTAGTGCATGAGGGTTAGGAGTTGCTTCAGTGAAAGCCTGTAACAGAAATATAATGTTTTAAATTAAATATATTGATTATGTACTTATTATAAGAGAGAAATTATTATTATATTGCTAACATTAAAGGTATTTTATATAGTTTTTTCAAAAATACAAACCTTAATGTTAGCTCTATAATTAGTATTTGGTATCGTCTCTCTTAGAAAATCTGGTTCTTTTGATTGCTTTTTGACATTATTTGCAATAATGAAAACACATAGAGCACAAAGCAGCAACTAAAAAATTAATTTTGTTGCAATATAGATTTCCAAAAAATAGTAGAAATAATGATAATATCACTCACCAAACAAACAACAGCACAAATTAACTTTTTGAGGTTCATTTTTGTTAAACACTGTTATTCGACAAAAACTAAGGATTACAATAAATACAATAAGCAAGCTTCCCCTTTTATATTGGATTTATTGTTTTAGAAAATCACGTCCCCGACATTAACAATTTTCTTGAGAAAAACCGTGTTGATAATCCCTGGTAATACGAAATCTTTTGTTTCAGTAGTAAGTTCAAGTTCACTCTACATGACAAGTTCATTGATGTTTTGATTTCTTCATATGTATTTAATTTTCGGTGTATTGTAGGAAATTGAACTGTATCGCTGAAAATGATTTTCAATGACAATAATTTGACTTTACTTTGTTAGATATTCAATATTGGAAAAAAGAATAGGTACAGGGTTTATAGAACTCTTTAGTTCAAGCTAACAGAATTAATTATTTCTTAGATGACAAAATTTTTACCCCAATAATTGCTGCCACATGATAAATATAGAAATTTTCCAAAGTTGATGTTGGTAGGTAAAAGTATTCATTACGTCACTTAACTTATATTTCAGTAAGCAGGGTTTTTTTTCCAGGAAAATAATGTAGAAGTTTTTTTCTCACGGGTTCTGTATGTTTTTTGAGGTGCTGAATCTGAATCTGAGGTTTGCCAATACGCCAGGCGTCGGCTTTACAACGAAAATTGCGAAAAGTCCTAAATTTCCGGCACTTTTTCCAGGTTTTTGACTACAACTCGAAAAGTAAGCGTTTTTTAATTATAACTATAATAAACCAAATTAAAGTAGAACAAATTTCCTACAAGTAAGTGTAATTACTCTAAAGTTTTGACAATCCACAACGTCATTAGATCGTGTTAAAAAAAATTGCATTTCTTGAGTTTCCTCTAAAAAAGTTGGAAAACGTTATTCTAATTAAGGTTTCAATAACAGGAAACATATTATTTGGAAAAAAAATTAGTATTTACACAAGAAAAAGCAAAAAAATTATAGACGCCGACATATTTTGCATCTTCTGATTTCAGCTCAGTAAAGTCCTTATTTCAAAATATTTTGAAAAATGAGTCTTCAGAGACTTCAAAATCTCCAGAGTTTTCAGTCATGAGCCTCAAAATCTCTGAGGTGTTAAAAGAATAAGGATTCTTCCTAGTTTCAAGGCTTTGAATCAAGTGCGTTAGAATCTTGCATTGGTCTCCAAAGCTATATGGTCTTTAAAGTCTTCTTAGCTCTTAGCTCAGTAAAGTTCTTATTTCAAAAAATTTGAAAAAAAAAAATCTTCAGAGACTTCAAAATCCCAAAAGTCTTCACTCAAGACTTTTCAAGATCTCTAAGTTTTTCAAAGTATAAGGATTCTTCCAAATTCCAAGGTTTTAGATCAAGTTCGTTGGAATCTTGCATTGGTCTCCAAAGCTGTGGTATTTAGAGTCTTTATCCCCGAAACATTTTGAAACCTTCAGGATCTTCGGAATCCATAGTCTGCAAGGGCTCTAGAATAAATGATCAATATGCCAATATCTTTTGCATCTTCTGATCTTAGCTCAGTAAAATCCTTCTTCCAAAATATTTAATAAAGGAGTCTTCAGAAATTTCAAAATCACCAGAGTTTTCAGTCATGAGCCTCAAGATCTCTAAGGTGATCGAAGTATAAGGACTCTTCCAAGTTCCAAGGCTTTAGATCAAGTGCCTTAAAATCCAGGATTGGTCTCCAAAGGTATGGTCTTTAGAGTCTTTATCTCCAAGACATTTCGAAACCTTCAGAATCTTTAGTCTGCAATGGCCCTAGAATAATCGATCAAGACGCCGACATTTTTTGTATCTTCTGATCTCAGCTTAGTAAAGTCCTTATTTCAAAATATTTGAAAAAATAAGTCTTCCGAGACTTCAAAACCCCAGAGTCTTTAGTCATGAGCCTCAAGACTTATCAAGATCTCTAAGTTGTTTTTAGAATCTTTATCCTCAAGACCTTTCGAAACCTTCAGAATCTTTAATTTGCAATGGCTCTAGAATAATACCGTTGATATACCCGAAAAAAGGGGCGCGACACTCAGAAAATTGCCGCCTTCGGCGGGCCTGCCGGCCAACGGCTACCCGTTCCTGTCGTTATATCCAGCTTTTTGTCAAAACAAATATTATGGCCACCCTACATAAAAAGGACCTCGCAATTTAGATATCGCTGACGTCCACATTTGTTTTGCCTACGCCACTGCATGAGGCTCAGGATTGCGTTCGCAGATATTCCGTTTAGATGGACCAAGCTGTATATGCTAGTTTTTTCTTGTTACTGCTGTCAGGCATAGGACTGCTGTAATTTTTGAAGGATGGGCGCTGGTCTTCCTACTGGAAAAAATGATTATTATTCAGAGTGATAAATACTAGAATGGGATAATAATTTCTTGCAATAGTATAAACAACCTTCGATCTTTCCAGGCGAAACGTTTTGATCGTCATCATCACTGAGTATTTCTATATTGGAGCAGCTTCCTTCACAATTATGACAAAGTCTGGAGCAGTGTAACCCAATTTTTCTGCATCCGCAACTACCCTTACAAGCAATGAGTTTCAGAAGCTTCTCTGAGGCTGGGAGTTCAAGGGTCGTGATGGGAATCAAGTTGCCTCAAATAATTTTCCTTCCCCACTGCTTAGGAGGGTGAATATTTCCTATACTTGGTGAAATAAATACCCTATTACTGTGTTGCTGGGGCTGCAGCTTTACTAGGGGGGATGGATGCTACATTTCCGCTAACCCTGAATGCTGATGGCACATACTGTTTATACCGCAGCTTATTTATTGAAGTGGTGCGATGGTCTCCGCCATACAAGGCCACTAGACATTTTTCCCCCTGCCTCCGAAATGTCTTCTGATATGGCAAGAGGGTTTGTGAAACGTCGGATGTAGACTGAGGGGTCAAGATATCTTGTTAGGGTTTTCATAAACTTGATTTTTCCTTGTTTAAAAAGAACAGATGTGGAGTCACGAGTCACAACCACTGACAGCATGTGTGAATGGTATGTGTTCTGCCAAGCATTGTTCGATGATGCTTAGAGGATGGTTTTGACTTTGCCTGGTTTCAAAAAATATACATTGGGAGATGTCATGGTTCCAATCATAATGACCAGGAGGTCTATATCCTCTCCAACAACTACAACAGTTTCATGCTCCGCAGGGATTGGGATGTTTGCACAATCAGAATGTCTGCATCTTCACTTGATTGCTGCAGAGTAGCCTTCGAAGCCTAATGCTGCAGTTGCCGTATATTTTTTTTCAAATATTCAACGTAGCTGGTACTGCTGAAATATTCAACGTAGCTGGATTCTGCTGGCTGCTGTGACTTGTAGGGCGCTTTGGGTTAATCTTCGTAGTGGTTTTGCTTTGCAATAATTCTTCCAGCTTCTGTAATAATGTGGAGCAGATATGGATCTTCCTGCTTGTTGGACCATGTGGACTCACTTCAGAATGATTCTCCTGCTTCCTAAAGCTCTGTGTTTTGGAATTTTTGACTTAGAGGGTGCTGTGGAAAGTCGTCTTGAATTTATTCCCTCGGTTCTTGGAGGATTTAGGAGAGAATTTGGACTCTACTGACTTCCAATTTATTGTGAAGTCGTTTTTGATCAATTCTCTTGACTTCTGAAGTTCTATGTAGTGAATTTAGATTCTCTTGTCGCTTGTAGGGTGCTTTGGGTTAATCTTCGCTGTGGAGTTGCTTTGAAATAATTCTCCTAGGTTCTAGAGCACTGTGAAGCAGATACGGATCTTCCTAGCTTGCTGGACCATGTGGACTCGCTTCAGAATGATTCTCCCGGTTCCTAAAGCTCTGTGTAGTCAACTTGGACTCGTTTGGCCTGTAGGGCGCTGTAGAAAGTCGCTCCAAATTCATTCCCTCTGTTCCTGAAGGGATAAGGAGAGGACTTGGACTCTACTAACTTCTAATTTATTGTGACGTCATTTTTGATCGATTCTCTTGGCTTCTGAAGTTCTGTGTAAGGAATTTGGATTCTCCTTTGGTTTGTAGGGTGCACTAGGTTAATCTTTGCGGTGGAGTTGATTTGGAATAATTCTACTAGCATCTAGAACACTGTGGAGCGGATATATGGATATTCCTGGCTTGTAAAACGATGTGGACTCGCTTTAGAATGATTCTTCTCATTCCTAAAGCTCTGTGTAGTGGCTTTAGACTTTTTTGGCTTCGAGGGTGCTGTAGAAAGTCGTTTTGAATTTATTTCCTCGGTTCCTGGAGGACTGAGGAAAGAATTTGGACTCTACTGACTTCCAAATTATTGTCGAGTCGTTTTTGATCGATTCTCTTGGCTTCTAAAGTTCTGTGAAGTGAATTTGGATTTTTCTGTGGCTTGTAGGTCCCTTTGGGTTATTCTTCACGATGGAGTCGCTTTGAAATAATTTGCTGGAGCGGATATGGATCTTCCTAGCTTGTAAGACGATGTGGAGTCGTTTCAGAAAAATTCTCCTGGCTCCTAAAGCTCTGTATAGTGGCTTTGAACTCTTTTGCCTAGTAGGGCGCTGTAGAGAATCGCTTCAAATTTATTCCCTTGATTTCTGGAGGGCTGAGAGGATTTCAACTCTTCTAGCTTCTGGTTTCTTTTAAAGTCGCTCAGATTCGGATTCAGCACCCCAAAAAAACATACAGAATCAATGAGAAAAAAACTTCCAAATTTTTTTCCTGAAAACGCCGTTTCTGAACCTTGGATGACTGAACTAATATGGGCTTTCATTATTCGTAAACAAGTCAGTTTTCACGCCTCTTGGGATTGTGAAGAAAGCGACGACTTTGAGGAAAGCTTTCTTCACCAAATGGATCTAAGAAATCGGACAGGTTTTTCAATTAAAGAAAGGGTAAACGAAGATAATTTTCCTCAATGGAATTGAATCCAAACTGATAAAGATAGAAAGGCTTAGAAAAAGTGGATGCAATCTGAAAGAAGACAAAGATAGATGTCGTTGTGTACTAACAATATGCAAGACTTGATCACATTGAGCCATTATTAATAATCCAGAACTCATATTCAGAAAACTCAAGAAACGCCAATACTACAGATTCAACTTCGCTAAGAAAGTTAGAGTAGAAAGAGGAGTAGGATAGTGATCTATTATAGGTCTGTTCTCACAAGAGTCTCTGACAGAAAAAAACACTCAGCTAAGTTACCGATTTATCTTGGAACAACGACATTGAAAACTTATATGGTTTGCAGTTTGAGACTCACGTGAGAACACATCTCACAGAATACACATCTTATCTCGTTGAAAGTCTACACCTTGAAGCCTTAGGATGTATCTATGAGTTTGAATTAAAAGAACAATGGTCTGTATATTCGAGGAGAAAACGTTGACAAACTATAGTAAAACCTTTTTTAGAATTGGAAGGCTCTAAAAATTGACGATCTGCTTTGAAGATTGGCTTTGGTAACCTAATAATTCATAATCAGGCTCCGGTTCCTGATGCGAGGCATTTTCATATTTTTCTGGTTGATACTCAGCCGTTTCCCTGTTTTCAGGAGCTCTGGATATTCACATGTTGTATCCAATTCTCTTGTGTTTGGTTCGTCGGGTTGTAGAAAACTGGCATCTCTTCTAGGGGCTAAGTGTTTTAAAGATACTGTAGTAATAGCTTGTGTTCCATCACCATGAAGAAATAATGCATAATCTGGATTAGCTTCAATCAGTGATGTTAGTGAGTCATGACCAGCGCGCATGACGGAGGGTCATGACGGTCATGACCGTCACGTCACATTCAATGTGACCGTTAGTCATGACCGTTTTACTGCATAGTGTGTAAATGTGCAGTAGTAGAGTAGACTGCATAGTATGCGGTAAAGTAGATTCGGTGTTCAGGTACTCTCAAAAATCCCTTCTCGTTCAGAAATTTCAAAAATGCCTTTTTTTGGAGATAGATGCTCATAGGTATAATTTTGAATGCGGTGAAGTATCACTTACTGCATTTGTTAGGTGAAAAGCTATTATTTTTGTTATTTTATTTGTTATTTGTTGAAATTTCTTCTGTTCTGAAATCCTCAATTATTTGTCAAAACTCAATCAATAATTGACTGTCCCTATTTTAAACCCATTTGTGAGTTTAAAGACCATAGACTGTGGGTAGTGGCGTTCTAAATTGAAATAATTACTATTAACTATGACCATGATCATGACCGTCATGACATGTCATGACGCAAATGACCGTCACGATTTTAAATGACCGTCATTTTACATCAGTGGCTTCAATAAGTTCTACTTCTTCCACCAAGGAATCGTATTTCCTACGACGAACTTGGTTCGTTAACAGAACAGTTTGGGAAGGCGTCAAACTGGTGTTACGGGATTATTTTTCCCCCTCACGTAAAAGTACCCTCATCTAGAAATTTATTACTAAGTTGTCATTTCACCTATACAGTTTTCATTCCGCTATTTTTCAGTACCATCTAACAATAATTGTGGTTAATTATTCAAACATTTCATATTATATATTATTACAGATTCCTACACTTGCTTTATAGTACCGATGGTTGTATAACCGATTTCCGTACTACCTTCCTTTGTACCATTACAGTTTCCTCTATTTGGTGGGTACCAGACATTCAGTCAGTAGCAGTACCAGTGTCCCACAATAGATTCCGTAGAAATTCCTCAAGGTTTTTTTCTGGAAGAGAAAGGATTAAAAATCCTTTTTTTTTTGGTAGAAAAGAAGGCAGCTTTCAAGAGCACGTTGAAAGTTTCCTCTAAGCGTTTTTGCTGATCTAAAACCAAAAATAAGTTTGTGGGTTGCTGAGATTATAGCACCACAGTGCCACTATATGCAGATTTGGTTATGTGAGTTTTAAAGGGTTTAAGTCTGAAATTTAGCCATTTTCCTTCGTATGCTGTGTCTGGAAAAGGCCAAAGTATTTTGGTAAGTTTTCATTTTCTGCTATTCTTCTTTTGGATAAGTTCTACAACGTTAAAGTTCTTTTAGAATACTTCTTTACTATATTTGCTGTTTGCTTACTATGTGCAAGAATCTTTTTTAGTCTCTCTTCACTTTCACTCTTCCCCGTATTGGAGGCCCTATTTTTGCTCCGATACCCGAGTGCCGGTTACCCATCAACCACCATTACTCCAGAGGTACCTTCTGAACCACTCCAGACGGCCTAACTGCCCCTCCCCTAGTTGCTAGAACATCCCTAACCACCAAGAAGATTTGGGGAGCACCCTCGATCCTCACTCCACGTCAGATAGATTCCTGAGTCGCTGTTAGACTTGTAAACAGCAAACAATCAAGGAACGCCCTGTAAGTTAATTGGGTCACATGTGTGTGTTGTCCTAAGTCCTGAAATCAGATGGTTACACTCCAGCTGATTGGTATTGAAGCTCTGGGGTCAAAAGAAATACTCACCCCGTAATTTGTACCATCCTAAGTATTGTTCAAGGGTTTTTAACAATCAGAACAATGTATAGCCAGATAGAGGCCTAAATTACCAATAAAGAACTTTGGTGTCTTGTTTTGAATTATAGGAGTTATTACCTTATATACAGATCTGGGAATCAAAATATCGTGGCACATACATTTTCAAGAATATCCTCTGCGATTTTACTTTCTTCTAGTGACAAAACATTGATAATCTACATAATTCTTTCTGTCATCCTGGTATAACAAGACTGTATCACTGGGTCCGATGTAAGAATCTACCTTTCTCACTAGATGATATCAAGAGAATTTCAGCCATCTTTCCCGTTTGTGCTGAGATCAAACCAAGGTTTCATAGAAATCAAGCTACTGCCCCTTTCGAAAGAATAAATGTAGATTTTAAAGGTCCATTGCCACCTGAGAACCAGAACCGCTATATTTTGACTGTTGTGGATGAATTTTCTAGATTCCCATTTGGATTTGCTTGTCCTGACATGACCTCATCAACTATTATAAATTGCTTAACTCAACTTTTTTCTGGTTTTTGGACACCTTCGTATCTGCATAGTGATAGAGGGATATCATCTATGTCTGAAGAGCTGAAAACATTTTCAACACGACATGAGATTGCAACCAGTCGCACTACTCTAGTAATATTCTAAGTTTATTAAAGCCTGTATTCTAGAGGTTTTCTTTCACTTCATTAACAAAACTAAAGCGTGACAAAGTTAAAAGAATAATGACAATTATTAATAATACAAGATATATCTTCTTATACGGGTGACTAATAGTAAGATTGATAAGGTGAAGGTAAAATATCATAACACATATGAATAATGAAGAAGACATCGGAATTTTTACGAGCAGCAAAGAAATGCTGAACGACTTAAAACTTCAAACCATTTTCGCCGCCGCTGAGTTCGGCCATGTCTCGTCTACACCCTCGCCGCCAAAATATGACTGAGTCCGATCGTCCGAAGTGCATTTCAAGACAGACTCCTCCCGGGGGACGCACGCGCTCCCCCGGGAATAGAGCGGCTCCCCGTACGCGTTCCCATGGGGACGCTGGGTGGTGGCAAGAAGGGGCAAAAGGGGTCCCGATTTGGGGAACAGCAGTATGTATAGTCGGCACACGCCGTTCGATACGGGCGGCCATCGAAAAGGGGGACGCGAGGCAAGATTGAGCGGGGGGGAGAGAATATGATGTCGTCGATGCTTTTGGAGGTCAATGTGTTCGAGAGATAACTAGTTTTTTTGCATCCAAATCCTAAGCCATTATAACTTTTTCCTCTGTGAATCAATAAAACCATCATCATTGCCAGAAAGAAGATGATCTCTCAGCCCTTGCTTTATCTCCTAAAGCTAGCTAATTGGTTAAACTAAACTGTAGTCGGAGCTTGCTCCTTGCCTGAGAAACGGATTACAGCTTGCAGTTAATTTAGCTCTGGAGTGGGATTTCATTAAGCCTAACACTTGGATACGGAACAGCTTACGTCTCGGGTGGGGGCGGCAGATATGCTGAATTTTAATCATGATTCAAGACGTATACGAAAACCAGGCCTGGGTAAAATTATTTTTCGGATAAAATAATTATTATAATCATATACAGTGTGAAAGTTTATTGTGCACAAGTTGGTTAACCATCAAGGTCTCCTTAATTGTGTCAACCCAAGCATAATCCAATACTTATAAATATGAAATTGCTCTTTAGTCATATTAACTCTTGAACTCTAGAAAATATTCGACAATATTCAGATATGAGGAATAATGAAAAACCTAAACATTGAGGAAATGTATAGTAATATCAAAAGAATGTAACAAAAAGATAATATCCAAAATCTGTTGGTAAAAGAAGAAGAACCAACTAAACGTAAAAATAGAGAACGTAGTAAAAGAACAGAGGAGAATATATGGTAAAGGAAAATAATGAACCAGATGGTATTGAGGGAATCTCCCAACTGGTTTGAATCATCCCCAGAATATTAATTTTTTCTTCTATAAATCTTGATATTCCGAATTCACTTTACGAGAAGATATCTTTCCCTAGAAAAATAATACCAGAGTTCATAGAAAACCCAGTCTATATCCAGAAATAAGGATACATAAAAAATCGACAAAGATTTCTCGAAACGATAGCATCAAGATTTTTCGTCTATAAATCTTAAAAAGAGATCAAAAGAAAATTGTTTCTCGTGTTTTTCCCTACGATTTCCTTCGAGCAGAGAGGGCCAAAATCTCATCTTTTATCTTACCTTACTTTCATCATAGAAAGCCGGGGCCTTTCTCTCTATATGGCACCCATAAATTCAATATTTAGCCGGTCTAAAACTCTCGGTGCCGCCGATATGAATGGCCGCTCCGGCAAAATGGCCTCCCCCGGAAAATTGGATCCGCAGATTCGTCTTGGACCGGGGAGTTTTACCGGGAAAACAAATGACAACCGAACGTTGGGCTCAGAGTCTTCGGTTATTAATAGTAGTCCGAGGAAGAAATATTATTGTTGCGATAATCTATTTTCTTTTATTTTTCAGGTTGTTATTTCAACGCAAGTTTCAGTAGATGGGCCTCTTTTGGCTATATCAGATAACATGTTCGTACACAATAATTCCAAACATGGTAGAAGAGCGAAAAGACTGGATCCCACAGAAGGTATGTTTACATGTATGTCAAATTTTTATATTTGCATAGATTTAATACTTAGCCTTAAACTAGTTTGCACTACTTATATGCGATAGTTTAGTTCAACCTGTAAAGCATACAAATGTAATTCAAAGAGTTGAAGATCAAGTATGTACCTATACTAAAGACTGGAGAAAGAGAGAGCAAGAAAATGTTCGTTCATAAAGAGTTTTGATCTACCTACGTCTGATCACAGGAATTATAAATCTGTTTCTTGAAGATTGTATTCACTATCTTCAAATAGAATTTCTTTTGGTAGAGGATGCATTTTTTTGGGAAGTTTCTGAGATGCAACTATACGTAAATCCTGGTAAATTTGCATCTGTAGAATAGAACTAGAACTGTAAATCATATCCACATTTGGGACCCCCTGAATTATTCTGAGATTTGGAGCCAGATTCTATGAAAAAAGGCACTCAATGATAAATCACCCCAAATTGCTTAACACGATTTTATTTATGGAACTATAAGTTCAAATGAGCTGAAACTTTCAGGGATTGTAGTCCTCTACTGGGAAAAGAATAGCTGAAAATTTCAGCTTTCTATCTTTAATAGAAAAAAGGTATGACTTTTCCAAATCTAAATTATAAGGTATAGCTGATTGATTACCGTGTCTTCCTCCAAAATCTGCTTCACTCTTTGTAGGAGCAACTATTTTCATTAATGTTCAATCCGCTGCATGACACTCCTACTCCTATAATACAGAATACCTGCTAACTTATTATATAAAGTCAGAATTTGTAAGATTATCCACTTTTTGTCAATTTGCCTTTTGACAGGAATTAGTAATGTAACTTTACCAAACTAGTACCTTAATGTGACAAATTATTCAAGTACAAATGAGTGAATTGTTCCGGAACTTATGGGTGGACCTCTGCGGGACGAGCGCAGCGAGTTCCGCAGCCATCTATTTATCAATATGTTGTTTAATTACGATACTAACCTGACTCACTCAAAAGTGAGTTATTCTCATTAGTTTAAAAACTACACGTTTCAGGTAAATGTCTTACTGGAACAATTATTCAACAGTATATTGGTGAGTAAATGGCTGCGTAACTCGCTGCGCTCGTCACGCAGAGGTCCACTCATAAGTTCCGCGACAATCCACTTATTTGTACTTGAACAATAACTTATTATATTAAGTCAGAATTAGTAATATTCTTGTCAATTTGCCCTTTAACAGGAATTAGTAATGTTACTTTACCAAACTAGTAACATAATGTGACAAGTTATTTAAGAAGAAACGAGTGGATTGTGGCGGAACTTATGGTTGGACCTCTGCGGGACGAGCGCAGCGAGTTCCGCAGCCATCTATTCATTAATATATTGTTCAAGTACCATACTTACCTGAGTCACTCAAATTTCATTTATTCCCATTAGTTTGAAAACTACACAGAGGTCCACCCATGAGTTCCGCAATAATCCACTTTGTACTTGAACAATAACTTATTATACAAAGTAGTCCAATAAGCGCGCCTCGGTCAATAGTAGCTAAACCGTTGAACTTATGGAAAAATGTTCTGTATAAAAGTTTTACAATTTCATCTCTGCTATAATTCAAAATTATTTTCAAGTATACAGGGTGTCTCAAAAAAAAGTAATCACGAATTTTATGTTTTTTTTTTAAAGGAATACCGTATGTTTTTATATGGCAAATGAAGCCTCTATGTGCTCTGCATTGATCTTTAAAATCGTATTTAGGTTAAATGCAGCGTTGCCAAGTTATGATTTTTCAAAGAAAAAAAATAGACCAAAACATACTTTTTTCAAATTGTTATATTCCGCCACTGTATATCAATTTCCCTTTAAAATTTACATGTAATCTAATGTTAGCCTAGTTGCTCCTACACTATCTTCATTTTTCGATCTAGGTATACAGGGTGTCCAAAATAGTTCTAAACAAGTCAATTTTAAATTCTATTTTAATTGAGTTTTTCAAATACAAATTTTTACTTTTCCTCCTCGTATATTTCCTGCTCACGCCGCCATATTGGAAAAATTGCGCCTAAAAACAGTTTTTTGAAAATATCTCTTTTCCTATACTCATTTTACGATGAAAATAGTTATAAAAATTGGTAAAGGCCTCTACCCATGACTTCCCTCTGGACAGGATTAGTTTCAGGGAGGTGCATACAGGCAGTGGCGGCGCGTAGATTGTTATATTGGTCCAAATTACTAATTTGAGAAGGGAAATTCCCCAAAATTTTTCCGGGTGCCACGGCCAAAAATCGTAAAAATAAAAGAAATCTATATCGAGAAACTAGAAATTAAAGGGGGTGTGACCCAAAAATTAAAGTTTTCCCTGAATCTAATCCTGTCGGCGTCCATGGGTGGTTTGCCGAGGGAATTCATGGGTAAAGGCCTTCACCAATTTTTATAACTATTTTCATCGTAAAATGAGTATAGGAAAAGAGATATTTTCAAAAAACTGTTTTTAGGCGCAATTTTTCCAATATGGCGGCGTGACCAGGAGATATACTATCAAATTTTCAAAACTTCCGAAAAACTTTCCAGGTAAAACTACCAAATTACTTTACTGTTAAGTTAAGGGAAAATCTTAATCACATCTCATCTTATCTCAAAATATTAATAAGATACGGCAAATATGTGATTTTCTGAAAGAGGGCATTTTCAGCTTTTCGATAGAAAAATAATATACAGAGTATTTGAAAAACTCAATTAAAATAGACGTATTTAGACACATATTTTGGACACCCTGTATACCTAAATCGAAAAATGAAGATAGTGTAGGAGCAACTAGGCTAACATTAGATTACGTGTAAATTTTTAAGAGAAATTGATGTACAGTGGCGGAGATATGACAATTTTAAAAAAGTATGTTCTGGTCTATTTTTTTTCTTCGAAAAATCATAACTTGACAACGCTGCATTCAACCCAAATACGATTTTAAAGATCAATACAGAGCACATAGAGGCTTTATTTACCACATGAAAACATACGGTATTCCATTAGAAAAAAAAACATAAAATTTGTGATTACTTTTTTTTGAGACACCCTGTATACTTGAAAATAATTTTGGGTTATAGCTGAGATAAAACTTTTATACAAAACATTTTTCCATAAGTTCAACGGTTTGGCTACTATCGACCGAGGCGCGCTTGATGGACTACCCTGTATAAACTCAAAATTTGTAAGATTATTCACTTTTTGTCAATCTGCTTTCCAACAGGAATTAGTTATGTTATTTTACCAAACTAGTAACATAATGTGATAAGTTATTCAATTACAAATGAGTGAATTGTTGCGGAACTTATGAATAGATGGCTGCGCTCGTCCCGCAGAGGTCCACCCATAAGTTCCGCAACAATTGACTCAATTGTACTTGAAAAACTTATCACATTATGTTACTAGTTTGGTAAAGTAACATTACTAATTTCTGTTGAAAGGCAAATTGACAAAAAGTGAATAATCTTACAAACTCTGCCTTTATATAATAAGTTATTTTTTAAGTACAAATAAGTGGATTGTTGCGGAACTTATGGGTGGACCTCTGCGGGACGAGCGCAGCGAATTCCGCACCCATCTACTCACCAATATACTGTTGACCTGTTCAAGTAAGACGTTCACCTGAAACGTGTAGTTTTTGAACTAATGGGAATAACTCACTTTTAAGTGAGTCAGGTTAGTACCTATCGTAATTAAACAACATATTGATAAATAGATGGCTGCGGAACTCGCTGCGCTCGTCCCGCAGAGGTCCACCCATAAGTTCCGCAACAATCCACTTATTTGTACTTGAAAAATAACTTATTATATAAAGTCAGAGTTTGTAAGATTATTCACTTTTTGTCAATTTGCCTTTCAATAGAAATTAGTAATGTTACTTTACCAAACTAGTAACATAATGTGATAAGTTTTTCAAGTACAATAGAGTCAAGTGTTGCGGAACTTATGGGTGGACCTCTGCGGGACGAGCGCAGCGAGTTCCGCAGCCATCTATTCATCAATATGTTGTTTAATTACGATACTAACCTGACTCACTCGAATGTGAGTTATTCTCATTAGGTAGTTTAAGAACTACACGTTTCAGGTGAACGTCTTACTTGAACAGTTCAACAGTAGATTGGTGAGTAGATGGCTGCGGAACTCGCTGCGCTCGTCCCGCAGAGGTCCACCCATAAGTTCCGCAACAATCCACTTATTTGTACTTGAACAATAACTTATTATATAAAGTCAGAATATGTAAGATTATCCACTTTTTGTCAAGTTGCTTTTTAATAACAAGGGGTGTATTTGTGGACTTATCACCTGTGTTGCTGTTCAGATTCTTATTGAGAATGTTTTCCAGGGAAATCTCATCTAGGTATTATTCAAATTGAAGTAAGCAAAATATTCTACCACATTGCTGCAAGTTTCACACGTAACAATGTTCTTATAAGTATGGTTTCCCTTGAAAAAGTAGAAATAATTGTCTCCAAAAACCTTTCTGTGAACATTGAGGAGCTAAGAAACAAGTGTTTTTCTTGCATACTAATTGCATAGACCAACTTCTGAACAATAATACGTAACTCTTCGTTACATTCAGATATAATTTCTCTTCTTACTCCTTACTTTTCATTTTTTATAAAACTGAGATTTTGTAATTTTTATATTTTTCTCCAATCGTCGAAATTTTGCTCTCATTACTGATTTTCTGTAAACATACAGCGTAAGTATAAAAACATACACATACGCGATCCGACTTTAGTATTTTCGGCATGGTTCTCCATTACGTAATCTTTCGCTTATGAGACTTGTTACCCTCGGTTTTTTTTATACTGTTTTATCTATAAAAATCCCTATTCCTACTTTAAATACAGTTTCGACCAGGAGGGGCAAACCCGCATACAAAATAGGCAAACGAGAAAACGCATGCAGGCTCTGGTTGGTGGAACAAAGTCCAAAAAGGTTCGTGAAAAATCCCCCATTCTGATTGTGGAAGTCTTTTTTCTGATAACTTTATGCATACAAATAGGTGGAAATTTTTTGTTCGGCTGTATATTGTCGCGAACTGGATTTGTTGGAAACGCGTCAGTTATTGCTCCATTCTCTTTAGTAGCTTTCTTTGGCAAGATTTTTTTGGATAGGTAAGAGAACTTCCCCTTGTTCATAGAAATCCATATAAATATTGTAACTTAATTCGTGTTCATTTCCCAATAAATTTTATTGGATAACTCCCATATTTTTTCTTAAAAACAATCTTAATCTCAACTCTTAAGTTATTATCCCAATCTATTTTAAACTGCTTGTTCCGGCACCCTCTCAGGTTTTTCTCAATTTGTATGCGCCGCCCGGACCGAGGCCCAAACTTTGCGAAATTGGCTTCCGATCCAGTTCAGTGGAGGACGGAAACGGAACTGCGGAACTGTTCCGTGTAGTAGAGCCCTTCCGACGACACTGCTTACGCCGCTCTCTGCCTGCCGACGACGATTTTAATCTTCTTTCTTTTTCACTTTCTCTATTCCGACGCTTTTATTACACGTAAAAAAAAAACAGAGGCGGGACAAGATGTAACTAACATTTGAACTAGCTATGTTCGAATTGATCTGATGATTTTTACTGGTCATAAGCATTTTCTCTTGCTTATTTGCATTGAAACAACAACTTCTCTTTGGCTGGTGAGTGCCAATAATGCCTGTCATTTTGTTGATGAAACCTTCATATTCATTATCAATGTTGTCTTGATAATAGTTTATGCTTTTACTTATATTCAATATTAGAACGCAACTGCTCAATATTCTGTATTTTAGCTCTATATATATTTTGCTTCAAACATCTATGATAACAAAAATTACGTTCACTTCTTACCATTACTTCATAGTCCTTAACATCACTCAATACTAAATATATTAGTGATAATAGATATATCCTACAAATAGGTGAAATTGTATCATGCTTGTGTTCGGTTTGCATACAAATTCTATCTTCTCTATGGAAAATCTTTACGCTACGTCCTTGTCCGACGTCGCAGTTTCCCGATTTCTCCTCTCACTGCTTCTATATTAGTTTAAACTCTTGAAATAATCGCTTCTCTCCCCTGCTAATGTCTCACTTCGCGCTAGTTTATCCTGTTGTATCCTCATTTTTCCTAGTTTTCCTTTCGAAAGTGCCGTTGCAATTGCGTGATTTTAACAATATTGCATTTTAAATATTAAATTTTACTGGTTTATTTCTAAAACTGCTTTCTCTATTGGAACAGGTCAATTTCCAGGACTCTATCCTCCTCTACCTGTAGCTACGCCCTGTATAAAAGCCATCAGTCCTAGTGAGGGATGGACGGCTGGTGGATCAACAGTAATTATTGTAGGCGACAATTTTTTCGATGGGCTACAAGTGGTGTTTGGTACCATGCTCGTCTGGAGCGAGGTAATTAAATGGTTTGCTTGCAAACTGGAAAATATTAACTTCTGCTATTTTAGTTGATAACCCCTCATGCAATAAGGGTGCAAACACCTCCAAGACACATACCAGGAGTAGTGGAAGTAACGTTATCTTATAAATCTAAACAATTTTGTAAAGGAGCACCGGGCAGATTTGTTTATGTTTGTGAGTTATATTTTAATTCTATTTTGCCTTATTATTAAATAACTTTTACCTTTGTAGCTCTAAACGAACCAACAATTGACTATGGCTTCCAAAGGCTGCAGAAACTGATACCTAGACATCCAGGTGATCCTGAAAAACTACCAAAAGTAAGTTGTAGTAATTTTTTCTTGAAATACATCAAAATTGCTGAAATTATTTTTGTCTGAAGGAAATAATTCTTAAAAGAGCAGCAGATCTAGCAGAAGCCTTATACTCGATGCCAAGAAATAATCAGCTATCATTGTCAGCACCAAGATCACCCACGATGGGCAACAACGGAATGTCAACGTCATTCAACGCGTACACCGGCCAACTGGCTGTAAGTGTACAGGACACTGGAAACGGTCAGTGGACGGAAGGTTCGATCTTGTTCCTCCGGTTTATACTCTTAACTTCCTTATAGTGCATGTGCTTGCATGTTTGTTAGGCTACAAAGACATTTTCTTTTCGTGTGCCTAGTCCGTTACTGACTCCGATTTTTACCTATAGGGTTTTTCTTCTAGATGAGTACGCCAGGACTCAGAGCAGCAGCGTGAGTCCACGCGGGGGAGGCTATTGTTCCAATACGTCCACGCCGCATTCTTCCAATGGAGGGTCTTACGGAGGCGGAGGAAGCCAGATGAATGGGTACGGAGGGGCTACACCTACAAGTACTATGGGGAACATGTTACCTGGTAGTCCGTCTGGAAGCCTGTTCAACTCGGCACCAAGTAAGAATTTATTTGGATTATAGGGTGAACAATTTTGCTCTTGATTAATGCATACTCAAATTTATTAGTGTTTTGAATTTGTTAATCACATACTTAAATACAGACTTTTGCATATTTTTTATCACGTATCGGCATATCAAGTTTCTTAACCAAGAGCAAAATTAGCAATATGTATAGGGTCAGGTAAGTTAGCCCCCGTACTGAAATTTTCTAAATGAAACATAATTTTACTCCCATTTTACTCCATTTTGCTCCACCAATTATAATTTTTGCTCCACTACAGTGGAGAGACTATGTGGCCTATTAAGTGGGCAGGGGGGGGGGGGGCAAATTAACGGTAGCGCCCACCAGTTAAAAGTTTTAAGTTTTTTTATGCTCATTTTATTCTGCAAGTTTTGTTCCATTTCGCTAAATTATCGGCGAGTGTTGCTCCATAACCTGCAATGAGCTACAGAGCTCCCAAGAATTTCTTCTGCCCCCATCGCCCCACCAGTGAAAATTTCGAAGATTTTTCATACTCATTTTATTCTCCGAATTTGGCTCCATGATCGGCGAGTTTTGCTCCATTACCTGGAATGAGCTACAGTGCTCCCAAGAATCTCTCTTGTATCCCCCTATCGGATGTCTGAACAAAACTAAAACATATTGAGGGCAGAACTGGATAAGTTTCTAAAATATGGAATCATAGACGAATGCGAATCCCCTTATGCTACTCTAGTTGTTCTAGTACCTAAACCTTATGGTAGTATTCGCCTTTGTGTCAATTATCAATGCCTAAGATAAAACCCACTTCCTAGGATTGATGATCTATTTCACACTGCAAAATAAAGTATATGACCACTCTTGATTTAAAATGAGGATACCATCAAGTCTCTGTCCGCGAATCTGATCGAGATAAAACAGCATTTATTTGCCCATTTGGAATTTTCCGTTATACGAGGATGCCATTTGGAATGAAAAATGCACCATCCACCTTCCAAAGACTCATTGATCGATTTAAATCCGGACTCCAAGATTTGACCATATTAGCTTATATAGACGATTTGATTTTGATTGTATTATCCAGAACTTACCAAGAACACTTTTTTGATTTACAATGAGTTTTTGACCGACTTGTAGCTTTCAAGCTTCACCTCAATTGATCCGAATGCCATTTTGTTTGCTCCTCTGTGAAGTATTTTAGACACGTAATTACACCCCAAGGAATCCACCCAGATCCTTTCAAAATCACCACTATTCTGGAAAGACCACCTCCCAAAAATGTGAAAGAGCTTTTGTCCTTTGTCCAAATATGCTCTTAGCTCCGGCTATTCATTTCTTCATTTGCAGAAGTTTCAAAGCCCTTAACCTCCTTAACCAAAAGGAAACTTATTATATTTGGAAATGGTAGAAGAAAGAAGAAGATTCCTTCGACCTTATGAAATAACTTTTGACTACTAATCCCGTACTCCGACAGGCTGATAGTACATTACCTTATATATTCAGAACTGATTCTAGTTCATACGCTCTAGGGGCAATTTTAGAGGAAAAGCTCCTAGCCCGCCCCTCACTGGGGGGGGGGGGACTGGGAGAGATTCTTGGGAGCTCTGTAGCTCATTCCAGGTAATGGAGGAAAACTCGTTGAACATGGAGCAAAATGGAGCAAAACTTGAAAAATGAAATGAGGATAAAAAAAAATCGAAATTTTCACTGGGGGGGGGGGGGCTGGGATAAATTCTTGAGAGCTCTGTAGCTCATTCCAGGTAGAACTCGCCGATCATGAAGCAAAGTGGAGGAAAACTTGAAGAATAAAATGGGCACAAAAACACTTCAAAATTTTCACTGGGGGGAGTGGGGGGACTGGGAAAGATTCTTTGGAGCTATGTAGCTCATTCCAGGTAATGGAGCAAAACTCGCCGATCATGGAGTAAAATGCAGCAAAACTTGAAGTATGAAATGAGGATGAAAAATCTTTGAAATTTTCACTGGGTTAGGCTGAGAGGGATTCTTGGGAGCTTTGTAGCTTATTGCAGGTAATGGAGCAAAACTCGCTGATCATGGAGCAAAAATTGGAGAATAAAATGAGCATAAAAAACCTTTGAAATTTTCACTGGGGGGACTAGGAAAGAATTTTGGGTGCTCTGTAGCTCATTCCAGGTAATGGAGCAAAACTTTGAGAATAAAATGAGCATAAAAAAACTTCGAATTTTCACTGGCGGGAGAGTTTCTTGGGAGCTCTGTAGCTCATTCCAGGTAATAGAGCAAAACTTGCCGATCATGAAGAAAAATGGAGAAAAACTTGGAGAATAAAATGGACACAAAAACACTCCAAAATTTTCTTTGGGGGGAGTGGGGAGGCTGGGAAAGATTCTTTGGAGCTCTGTAGCTCATTCCAGGTAATGAAGCAAAACTTGGAGAATAAAATGAGCATAAAAAACTTCAAAATATTCACTGTCTTCCCCTTCCCCCACTTAATAGGCCACATAGTTTCTCCCTTTTAGTGGAACAAAAATTATAATTGGTGGAGCAAAATTATAGGATATGTTTCATTTAGAAAAATTCAGTGGAGGGGGGGTTCTAACTTAACTGACCCATATGTATAATGTATAATTTTACTATTTTTAAAATAGAAAAACTTCCCCCAACTTTTTCCTATCCGTATCACGATCTGCAAGTACCTTTTCATTACTCTAACAATAGCCCTCACAATAGAAATACTGCATGGGGTGTATCAGCGAAGTGCCCTTTATCATTAAGCCCTTAAAAAGACGTATTATCGCATACCATATGTGGACTCCCTATTAAAAATCTGACACCAGTAAAGTATGTGCCTACATCGTGAGTTTATTTATGCACCCCTTAGTAGAATAATGGATCATTAAAAAAAGAAGAATTATTTTATTTTGTTTGCTTATTTTTGATTTTTGTTTTTCTTTTGCTTTTTAGCCTGCACTGAAAGCTATTACAAAAGCACGCACGCCACTGACAAGGAAAAAAGTGCTTTCGCACCGGTTTTAAAAGGGTCCGAATCTCCGCCGCCCTACCCACCTGCGCCGGCATTGTTTCATCATCAAAGCGTTACCGGGTGGCACCATTTAGCCGTTCAATAAATATTTAATGTTAGTATAAGAGTTACCATTCAATTTAGGTGAATATTAACCAGTAATTATTTATTGCAGGAATGTCTCTTGTCTCGTCTCCCTTTGCTTCCATGAACCCCTTCGCTCTACCCACCTGTAATGCTCAGTCCTACGGTTCAGCAGCCCTCGTAGGTCCGACAAAATAGCCCGAAATTGACGACACGGACGTCAATAATACTCTCTAAATTTTATAATAATTCAAATTCAGGACCTTATATTATGTTCCGGATTATTTAGTGCAATTTTATCCTATAAGTTTGCCAAAGACTATTCTAGGACCAGACTTGAAAATAATTTGTTACCAGTCAGATTTTTTTAATTGGCGATAAATCAACTCAATCATAAAGATGTCGTGTAAAACTAGGTAGGTACTATCAATCTGTGATCGTATTATACTTATGAGAAAATTGAAAATAATTACTTAATGTACCTACTTATACAGGTAAAATTTGGAAATTTATCATCCTGTATATTATTATACATGAATACACAAATCTTTTTCTTAAGCATAATAAATTACTTGGCACACTTTTCAACATATCTTACCAAACGAAAAAAAAAAAACACACACACAAAAAGTATACATATCGCTTAAAGCTGGGATTCTAAAAATTAGATTATAAAAATAATTATTCAAGTAGACAACATTGTAAATAGTGTATAGTTTTAGACTGGTATCTCTAGTGTATTTTCTAATTATTATTGTACAAAAGATATTGATTATAGAGAAATCTTATAGGGTTTAAGAACAACGACTTTGCATATTTTCTAAAACTATCATATCATTGTGAAATTTCTTCAGCAGAGTAATTTGGTTGTCATACATAAATTTAAATTAGGAATGATTTGTATGTTAAAATTATATAAAGAAGGCCAAAGAATGCCTTTTTCATACTCTGCAATTATTATTATTCTTCTAAATTAATTTTTTGTGAATGAGAAATATATTAAGGTATACGAATCAAATCGAAGAAACATTAAATAATGTAAGGAAACCCACACGTATTTTTTCACTTTGTATATTTTACTGTTTTGTATAAAGCAATTCCTATCTATGATTTGTAAATAATAGTGTATCTTTGCCTAATTGTTTTATGTTGTTACTTTCTTGAAATGTTTAGTTTTATTTTTGTACAAACGTATTTATTTTGTTTGTTGTATTTATTTTCCTTTATTAAAATGTGAAATAAACGATTTTTATGATAGATGAGAAGTTTATTTCTAGTGTAGCATCCGCGCCAATTACTCTATTATTTAGGTTAGATGGTAAATTGCGAGCGGTCGTAAAGTCAATTCACTCAAGATAATAATATTTATGCAATAAAGTTTCATAGTCAATTCACTTCATAGTCATTTCAAGCATTGATAAAGTCAAAATAAATCTTGCCAGGACCGTAGCTCGAGTCAAATTTTTGATAGGGCATGAAAAATTTGACATCGGGCATGCACTACTTCCCCCCTTAAATTTTTTGTTGGTAAACAAAATGGGGGTAATGCTGCCGAAGGCAAATTTTTCAATAAACAACATCAAATAACATCTGTGGCAAGTAAACAAAATGGCGCGTTCAGGCAATAATTTTTGAGGAACCTCAACTTGTCTGAACTTGTACTTGTACTACTTACTACTTGTAAAATAACTATACCTACCAATTTACTCGATTTCAGGTCTAGTAATTTCCAGTTACTCACCTAATTTTCAATAAGTTTAACGTTTATCCTACTTGACAAATAACTTGATCGACTGGAAATTACCGTTCTAGAACCGTTCTTATGACGGTTGGAACATGTCATTGGTTGGAACAGTACTTTCATCTACTCTTGAATTTCCTAGAGAAACCTCAACACATGTTGTGTTTTAAAGGTAGGGCATCATCATTTGGAAGATAGGGCATTGCCCCCCAATGCCCCCCCTGGCTACGGCCCTGTGTCACTAGAGTACTCACATTTAAATTATCGCCCTTAAAGTCACTTATTTATTCTAATTATTATTTAATTCAGAATAGCTAGAGCAAGCACATAAAAGCTGAAACGTTTACTTTCTTCCTAATTCGAATTATTTACTGAAATTTTTACGTTTTCCGAGGCCCGACTTTTTATACTTAAGATAATTCGCCACTTCTGAATACCTACTACTAATTATTGAGTCTAATTCTCGATAATTTATTGCTGATTAGAGCTCGCACATAATGTTGAACGAATTTAAATGTTCATTCTTTCACAATTTTCCATTACTTTTTCAAAGATTCGATTTAACGCGTTTTCCCGAGGCAACTAAATGAAAGAAACCCTTCCCGAATTTTATCCGCACTGACTCATTAAGTACAGGGTGTGTTTTTAGATATCGACACCCCACCTACAGCCTTAACCTTTACAGGTAGAAGAAAGGTGTAAATACAAAAGTTGTAAACTTTTGGCTGAATTTTTAGATACCATGGTCAGAAAGAAAATTTGAATGTCAAAAAGGTAAAATTTTGCATGCTTCCAGGTTTTTTCAAATAGGATGCCCTATATTTCATTCTATATTCTTGAAGAGCACAGTGCCTCGATTCCAAAAATATATAGTTTGTCTATATTTGATTGAACAGTATCTCATATATTCGGCTTCAAAAATTGTAAATGCTACTACTGATTTTGTTAGCCATTCTCCCTGTACAGGTGAAAGCTGCAGGTAAAATTTGAGGTAGGTTGGTTTCTCTGATAGTATTTTTAAAATTTTTAAAACCAAATATGTTGGAAACGGCTCAACCAAATATAGACAAACTATATAGTTTTGGAATCTAGAAATTGTGCTTCTCAAGAATATAGAACCTAATATAGGGGATCCCATTTGAAAAAAGCTGAAAGCATGCAACATTTCACATTTCTGGCATTCAATTTTTTTTTTCTGACTAATTCTGACCATGAATTCTAAAGATTTAGCCAATACTGTACAACTTTTGTATCAACACTTTTCATCTATTTGCAAAGGTGAAGGCTGTAGGTGGGGTGTCAATACATAAAAAAAAACACCCTGTACTTGAATAATAACTTATCAAATAAAGTCAGAATTTGTAAGATTATCTAATTTTTGTCAATTTGCCTTTTAACAGGAATTAGTAATGTTACTTTACCAAACTAGTAACATAATGTGACAAGTTATTCAAGTACAAACGAGTGGACTATTGCGGAACTTATGGGTGGACCTCACCTATTTATTAATATGTGGTTCAAGTACGATACTAACCTGACTCACTTAAATGTCAGTTATTCTCATTAGTTCAAAAACTACACGTTTCAGGTGAGTGTCTTATTTGAATAGTTCAACAGTATATTGGTGAGTAGATCCGGCTACGGAACTCGCTGCGCTCGTTCCACAGAGGTCCACCCATAAGTTCCGTAAAAATCCACTTATTTGTACTTGAACAATGACTTATTATATAAAGTCAAAATTTGGGAGATTATTCTCTTTTTGTCAATTTGCCTTTCAACAGGAATTAGTAATGTTACTTTACCAAACTAGTAACATAATGTGGCAAGCTATTGAAGTACAAACGAGTGAATTGTTGAGGAACTTATGGGTACGACCTCTGCGGGACCAGCGCAGCGAGTTTCGCAATTATCTATCATTAATATGTTGTTCAAGTACGATACTAACCTGACTCACTTAAATGTCAGTTATTGTCATTAGTTCAAGAACTACACGTTTCAGGTGAATATCTTACTTGAACAGTTCAACAGTATATTGGTGAGTAGATGGTTGCGGAACACGCTGCGCTCACCCGCAGAGTTCCACCCATAAGTCCCGCAAGAATTCATTTATTTGTACTTGAAAAATAACTCATTACATAAAGTCAGAATTTGTAAGATTATCCACTTTTTGTCAATTTGCGTTTTAACAGGAATTAGTAATGTTTCTTTACCAAACTAGTAATATATTGAGACAAGTTATTCAAGTACAAAGAAGTGGATTGTTGCGGAACTTATGGATAGACCCAGCCATCCATTCACCAATATGTTGTTCAAGTATAATACTAACCTGATTCACTCAGTTCCAGTTGTGAATTTTTCTCATTAGTTCAAAAACTACACGTTTCAGGTGAGTGTCTTATTTGAACAATTCACAGTATATTGGTGAGTAGATGGCTGCGGAACTCGCTGCGCTCGTCCCACAGAGGTCCACCCATAAATTCCGCAATAATCCATTTATTTGTACAGGGTGTTTTTTTAGGTATATATTGACACCTCACTTACAGCTTTTACCTTTACAGGTAGAAGAAAGGTGTAAATATAAAAGTTGTACAGTTTTGGCTGAATTTTTAGAAACCATGGTCAGAAACAAAATTTGAATATCAGAAATGTGAAATTTTGCATGCTTCCAGCTTTTTTCAAATGGGATGCCCTATGTTTCATTCTATATTCTTGAAGAGCCCAATGCCTCGATCTATATTTGATTAAGCAATTTCTCATATATTCAGTTCCAAAAATTGTAAGAATACTATCTTACTGCTGATTTTATGAACCATTCTATCTGTATAGGTGAAAGCTGCAGGTAAAATTTGAGGTAGGTACTTGGCTTCCCTGATAGTATTTTTAAAATTTTTAGAACCAAATATGTTGGAGACGGCGCAACCAAATATAGACAAACTATATAGTTTTGGAATCGGGAAAATGTGCTCTTCAAGAACCAAATATAGCGCATCCCATTTGAAAAAAGCTGAAAGCATGTAATATTTCACATTTCTGACATTCATTTTTTGTTTCTGACCATAGATTCCAAAAAGTTAGCCAATACTGTACAACTCTTGTATTTACACCTCGATTTACACCTTTCGTCCACCAGTGAAGGTAAAGGCTGTAGGTGGGATGTCAATATATAAAAAAAACACCCTGTACTGTCTTAAACTCAAGACTGAACTGAAGACTCAACTGGACTTAAACTAATTCCGAAATCGCTGTTTTTATATTTTTCGATCCCCTCAAAGTATTTCCGGGTCATGTCTAATCATTGACCGTTCTTCTTTTCTAAGAAATTAAATGTATTTTTTCAGAACCGAATATGTTGCAATTTCCTGGATTATCGGGGTCAACAGATTTGTTGTAAGAATGTGAGAACGAATAACTCAAAGGATGCCAAAAACTCGTGTCGGCCGTAAATCACCAATTTTTACCTTGATTTTAAAAGAATTTCTTAGGTGAGTAACCTCAAGAAGGCAAGCTTATATTATTCTGGATTTTTCCATGTTATTGCGATTGAAACATCTAAAACGCCTGTAGCACAATTTTGCTATTGGACTAATTCTTAAGTTTGAAATTTGAATTATATTTCCTATTAGGTATTTACTAAAACCTATTCCTGGATTACTTATCGCATAGTAAAAAAATCATGTAAAACTTTAGTAGCTAGAAATTTGGTTGGACTATATAGTTTGGACTTAGTGGACAACTTACTATATAGATTAACCTTTTTATCCTAAAACCAACCCCTTTCACTAATATTCAAAATACAATATATTTATTCATAAGCCTATTAGAATTTGATGCGTTCGATTTTCTTGCCGTCAGTATCTCATTTCATCCATATGGGGATATTTTTTAGAAAGCTTTTCTGCCGTCCCCCTAAATAGCAGGTTCGATTCGATCCCCTTTCCGAACAAAAACCTAATTATTAGCTCATTCGCATTGGACCTCGTCCTGGCTATACCCATCCAGATTAGACTACCACGATAACGGTATAATGTGGTTTATAGGGAGTCATCGCAATAATTTTTCCAATATTTTAGAATCTATCTATCTATTCAAATTTAGTTTTACTTCTCATGCCTCATATAAAAAGACAAGCCAATGATACTAAGTAAAATAGTTAGGTGCCTACCTCTACCTACAAAAATATATTTACAATATATTGTCCTATAAATTCTAGTTCCATTGGGGCCCTAATCTGAAAACTCCTATTGTCAGTCTGCCTAAATTTGAATCAAATGAAATTCGGTTGATGAGTGAAACTTGATATTACTTATCAAGGGTGATGTGCATTTGTCAGAGCGCGTCATAAGTGATCCAGTCAAAGGGAGGGTTGAAAAGTCCACCAATATTATTTTTCAGGCA